AGTTGAGTAGTGCTCCACTAAGAGGGAAGATGGACCTCCAGTTGAGTAGTGCTCCACTAAGAGGGAAGATGGACCTCCAGTTGAGTAGTGCTCCATTAAGAGGGAAGATGGACCTTCAGTTGAGTAGTGCTCCATTAAGAGGGAAGATGGACCTCCAGTTGAGTAGTGCTCCATTAAGAGGGAGGGGTAGGCAGCATCATTTTTACCATGCTTCTTCCCTTCCTCCTCCCTCCCTCTCTCTGTCTCTCTCTGTATGTCTGTCTATCTGTCTATCTATCTGTCTGTCTGTCCTTTAGTAATGAGTGATTCTATAGGTTTGATACACACCACTCTATTAATAAAGCCAATTGTTGTTCTTCAACTTGTCTATTCCTAGGAACTATATTGTTTGAATATGATGGGGAACGTCGGATGATGGTTGGAAAAGGCAGAGGAATGCTGCTTGAAAAGCAGGCCATGGATTATGGGCGGATAGATACCTGTGAGGTTCTTTTTTCCTAAAACATGTTTCTTACTTATTTCTCTCAGGAAGAAGAACAACTGGAAATAATGAAGTCCCTTTTCTTCATGTTTGTTGGTGTTGCTCACCTTTTATCCCTGAACTCTGGAAAAGCTATATACAAGAATGACATTTCTCAGAGAACATTTCAAGAAATAAAAAATGAAATAGCCAGCTATGAAGATGTTGCTAAAGCAATTATCAACCTTGCTGTTTATGGTAAATACCAGAACCGGTCCTATGAGCGTTTGGGATTTCTAGTTGATACTGTTGGGCCCAGACTGAGTGGCTCTAAGAACCTAGAGAAAGCCATCCAAATCATGTACCAAAACCTACAGCAAGATGGTCTGGAGAATGTCCACCTGGAGCCAGTCAAAGTACCCCACTGGGAAAGGGAAGAAGAATCTGCAGTGATGCTGCTGCCTAGAATTCACAAGATGGCTATTTTGGGTCTTGGCAGCAGCATTGGGACTCCCCCAGGAGGTACTCTTTGTTTTTTCAATTGGCTATCCTCTTTAATCTAGTCCTGCTTCTCTCCTTCTTTCCCCCTCTTTACCTTGTTTTGACACATAGATTTCATGTAAGCTAGGCTAGTATTGAATCCACTATGTACCCAAGGGTGACCTCCTGAGGGCTGGGGTCACAGGTGTGTCCCCACACCTGCTTTCTGTGCTGCTGAGGCTTCATGCTTGCCGAGCAAGCACTCTTCTAACTGTGCTACACCCATGGTTCCACTCTCTTATAATCTTAACACGTCCACTGGCACAACTGATTACGATATGCATGATTTATACTGTGAGAAAATGTAACCATTTTTGATTTGATTTCTTAGTGAATTCTCAACTCATTGTTTTACTTCCATCTTCCTTCTTTTTTTCCCTATTTCTTCCATTCTCTTAAGAAAGAAACTATGATGGGTGACTTTTTAAATAAGGTATTATCAACTCTCAGGCTTCAGCTTTACCCAGCCCTTATAATGCCTGGACATGGATATATAGCCAGTTAGCAGTCACCTACCAGTAAAACTTGAATGTTATTTATGGATTAATTTCCTGTGGCAGAGAAAGTATTTTGTATTCTTTTGAGTTTCTCTTATGCCAAGACCAAGCAGAAACATAGCTTATTTGAAAAAGATTCATCTACTATAAATAATATCTATCCATTAGAAACATAGTGTAATGATTTTTAGCATATTCACAGACTTGTTCAATTCGAGAACATTTGGACTGTAGAACATAATCTGAATGTTGAGCATGTAATCCCTCTCTCCCCTAGACCTCATAACGAGAGCTGCTGCATTTATCCTTCTAGTCCCACTCACCAAGACCCAGGAAGCCACTAATCTGCTTTTTGTATTTGTGAATTTTCTCATTCTGAACACCTCACATGGATGGAATAATGCACTCTATGGTCTTTGTGACTGGCATTTTTTATTCAACCTTGAGAAAATCAGGTTAATTATTAGGTCTTATCTGCAGTATTCTGTGAGGCTGGATCAACTCAGCTAGCAGCCTTGAAGCTGTTCTTGATGCTGGGTCAGCTGGGCCATCTGTTTTATTGATGTCTGGTCCCCTTGCTCTGAAAATACATAAGCTTTTAAAGCTAATACACATATCTGTATTAATACAAGTATAGACTCTGCATTGTACTCAAGTCAGTCAAAGATGATTTTTTTTGTTATGTGTTTGAGCAGGTAAAATATACATCATGTGTCTTGTAGTTCTTCGAGGTTTATTTTTTTATGTTTATAGTTATGATTTTCAGGGAATCTTCCCTGATTAAACATGATCCATATCAACCTGGAGCAAATCTATAGCCTCTCAGCTCCTGTGAAAATAAAAGCATAACCTCTTCCCCAAGGTAACATATCATTTGGCTTCCATTTTGAAGTCATTTAAAAAATATATAGGTTGGTTTAATGCAGCAGTTTTCTTAATCTAGTGTCTCTTAGCAGTCAAAGAATTTAAAGACAAACAATAACATATAGGATTCAGACTCTCTGTGTATTTTCCATCTTTATGCGGCTTTTTTCTTTTATATTATTTTATTCCCTTTTTAAGGAATTTACTTTATTATTTTAAAACTATATATATAGAGAAAGAGAAAATAAAAGTGATAAAAACATATATGACTGTTTTTATCACTTTTCTTTTCTCTCCCAAGCCTTTGTACATTTTTAAACATACTGTAACCCATTTAGAGGTTTTTTCCCCCTCTGGATCTGTCTGTATTGAGCATCTTTATTGTTTTTTTTAATCACATGAGATGAATCTTAAACTGTTATGTCAGCCACCACCAGTGTAGTTTAGCTTAGTGCACAGTGTAACATGAATTGCTAAATAGTCTTATTAACAAAAACCCAGAGCCAGATACTGGGGTGAAAGCTGAAAGATCAGAGGGATAGAACAAGCCAGCCACAAGTTCTTACTGCTAGAAAACCCTCAGGCCAAGAGACCTACTTCCTGTATACTCAAGCTTTATATGCCTTTCTGTGCCCTAGCATCTTACTTCCTCTCTCTGCCCACCTACATCACTTCCTCTTTTTGCTCACCTCTATCACTTCCTGTCTGTCTGTATAGACCTCCAGACCTCTATGGTTAACTAGTGCTGGGATTAAAGTTGTGTGCCATCACGCCTGGCTCTATTCCCATTGTGGCCTTGAACTCACAGAGATCCAGATGGATCTCTGCCTCCCAAATACTAGGATTAAAAGCATGTACTACCACTGCCTGACCTCTATGTTTAATATAGTGGTTGGCTTTTTCCTCTGATCCCCAGGCAAGCTTTATTTGTTAGAGCACAAATGAAATATCACCACAGCATGGCAGTGATGCATGGTGGCTGGTGGCTAGTGGCTAGCTCTTCCCACAGGCAGCTGTGGGATACCCATCTCTGTGGTGGTATTGTGTTCCCCAAAATATTGTGTACCTTAATAAACTTATCTGGGATCAGAGAACAGAAAAGCCACTAGTTAGGCAGTGATAGCACACGCCTTTAATCCTAGCATTCCAGAGACAGAAATCCCTCTGGATCTCGGTGAGTTCAAGGCCACATTGGAAACAGCCAGGCATGGTGACTCATGCCTTTAATCCCAGGAAGCCAGCCTTTAATCCCAGAGAGTGGTGGTAGAAAGCAGAAAGATATATAAGGCATGAGGACGAGAAACTAGAAGCATTTGGCTGGTTAAGCATTCAAGCTTTCGAGTAGTAATTCAGCTGAGACCCATTCCGGATGAGGACTCAGAAGCTTCCAGTCTGAGGAAACAAGACCAGCTGGGAAGTTGACCAGGTGAGGTTAGCTGTGGCTTGTTCTGTCTCTGTGATCTACCAGCGTGGACCCCAATAACTGGCCTCGGGTTTGATTTTATCAATAAGAACTTTTAAGATTCCTGCTACACATCTCAGTACTGCAGCTGGCATGAGAGACACAAGACTACAAAGCCACACTTGGCTCTGTTTTTGTCTGTTTAGAACATTTTTTTAAACTATCGTAGGTTTTAAGTGGCTGTAGGTGCCAGACATTTGGATGTCATTTGCAGGTAGACTTTTCTGTCCCATCTGCCAGTTCCCAAATAACCAACACAGAGACAATATTAATTATAAATGATTGGCTCAGGCTTGTTACTAACTTTTACACTTGAAATTAACCCCTTATTTCTTATCCACTCTTTGCAATGTGGCAGTACCTTCTTTCATCTTACACCTCCCATTTCCTCTCTGTGTCTCACTGGCAACTTTTCTGACTCTACCCTTCTTCCCAGCACTCTTTCCACCCCCCAAATCCTGCCTAGCTATTAGCCAATCCGCTTTTTACTAACAATGAGAGCAAGACATATTTAGAGTGTACAAAGATTTTTCCACAGCAGAGGCATTTTACACCCAGCACTTCTTATTTGTTGCTGAGGCAATAACTAGTTTACTAACAAGATCCTACCATTAGCTAATTAGTTATTTGCACCTGTCCTTTTCTTCTTTCTTGTTCTCGTAGAAATAGCATTGTCTCAGATGGTGGAGGAGCATAATCTCTGATATCTAGGCACACTGGTATCAGTGCTCTGGAGAGTGTATTCATGGGTACTTTGAATTTGGAAGTAAGAAATCAGCTGGTAGATCTGAGTGAAAAGTGTCAGAGTTTGCATATTTGACTGGTTATTATGTAGATTTACTCACATTATCTTTGGGTAGATGTTAGGCCACATTCTGATAACACCATCTTGCCAAATACCAGTGCTAATCTGAGACAGACTTTTCACTGTGGCCATGCCTTCCTAAGGGTTTTCTTTCTTCATCTCCACTAGTCTATTTCTGCTCCTATTTTTCAGGCATACCGATTTAGTCCTGATTAATCTGTAAGAATAGGATAATACTACAATCTGTTCTTCTGGGAAAGTTAAGAAGCATGGGTCAGAAAGTCTGGAAAGCAATGGCTGGATTGTATGCTGAACTTTCTGCATTCCTTTTACAGGAACATGAAGTAGCTTTGTATATTCTCTGCACCTTCATACTGTCATACTAATATGGCTCAGGAAGTCAAAGCAATGAACAAAATCACTATTGAATTTGATTACATCAGAATCACGAAGTTATATTTATGGCCAGTGAGACAGCTCAATAGGTAGAGGCCCCTAGGAACAGCCTGAACACCTTAGCTCCATCCCTGGGTGCCACAAGATTGCAGGAGAAAATAAAACTACAGAGTTGTTTTCTGACCCAGGAAACTTGGTGGTTTTTTCAGAGACCTGGGAGCTAAAGAGCTGATTGTATAGATTCCATTTTGGGTTAAATTGCCTGGGAACCAGGAATGCTGAAAATAAGAAAAATTGATGTCTCATCTGAATCAGTCAGTGTTGATTCAATATTTCTCTGCTCTTTTATCCATTCAGGCCCTCAGATGTTGCATGATGCTAGTCCAAATTGTTCAGTTCAAATGCTAATCTTTTCTGGGAACATCTTCACTAACACACACAGAAGTAATGTTCAGTCTGCTCTCTGGGCATTCAGTGGCCTCGTCAAGTTGAAAAGATACAAATTCTTAATCATTTCAATTGCTAGATAGATGGCAAAGCTAGATAGGTCACTTTTGAACTGTAGGGAGAGATGGCGTGGGTGACAGTGGTGGCGTGGGTGATGACAATGATGGCATAAGTGACAGGTGAATGGAAGGCAGTGTATGAATAGGATGAAAACCTAGGACAGGGTCAGATGGGTCACAGTTGGGGAAATTTTCTACACATTTACAAATAAAATCATTTCCAGAGAGCATCTCCTTGACTGTATGACAAATGTGTGGGGAAAGAGAAAGACCTGAGAGGGTCCAGATTTTAAGGGGCCAATAGTTTGGATTTGGCCTCAGAAATGGAGGAGCATATAAGTTAAAATAATAATTAATATCTTCTGGATATAATAGGTGAAATTAAAAGAATCAAAGACTATAAAGTGTTTTAAGTTTGAGTTACTAGAGAAATGAAGTGATACTCTAGAAAG